ACAGTTTAAAGCAAAGTTTAGTTTGAAAAGAATGAGGAAGGATTGAAAAGCATGTTAACACGGTAATGTAGGCTGGAGTTCATTATCTGACGCATGCAGAAACACACCAGGAACCTGGAAACTTACTGAATTACAAAAAACATTTAAAAAACAAACATGTTTCATTGATATATATGCAAAAATGAATATTAGAAACTATATTTATCAAACATTATACTGGGCAAGTAAAAATTGTTTCTGGGCAAATGAAATGTGAAAGTCACTGGCCCGAAGGGCAAAAAATCCTTAACGTTAATCCCTGGCACCTCAATCCACTTCTAAAAATAGCTTTTTTATTCTTTTCTTTTTTACCTGTAGCACTTTGAGATCTTTTGATGGAAAGTGCAGTATAAATTAAATGTATTATTATTATTATTATTAACCATAGAAAAGCCAGTTTCAGTTCCAGGTCCATTTGTGTTTACAATCTTTTCGATAGAGGGGAACGCTGAATATCAGTTTTAAGGATTCCGTATCATTATTGAAGGATTTTAGCGTTACATCTTGATTAGACCGCTCACCCAAATCAACTCCTCTGGTCTGAAACCGACGGAGTCTTTCTAGGGTCCCTGTCCTGCTTTTTATCAAATCTGACCTGCATTCCTGCCACAGCTGAAGGAAACATCCCCACACCATGATGCTGCCATCCCTATGCTTCACTATGGGGGCTAATGTGTGTAGTGCTATGCTACGTTAGCTGTCCTCAATACTGTTTAGCAGGTAATCCAGATTGTTAAGTTTTGATCTAATCTGAGTTTACTATTTTTCTTATTTCATTGTGTCTTCTAATCCTGATTTTATGAGAGATTTCTACCCTGTTAACAGCGTCTCCCATCTGAGCTCTGGATCTGATTACTGCTCTCTATGCCCAAGCGGGTCAGTTTAGGTGGACATGCCTTCATGGGTTTGCACTTATGCCCTCCAGTGGCGGAGCAGGACAGCTTTCATACAGCTGTCCAGTTCAGGGTCAGGAAAATGAACCTGCAAAACATCCATGTATTCCAGATAAATCACTGAAAAAAAGACAAGATTTTCTGAAATCTCTCAATAATAAATATTTGCACATATTTTCACATCCATGCTGTCTAAATTAAAGGTACAGGGGACGATCTTTTGCTCTTAGATCACCAATCTATTGGTTGTTTATGTATCCAATTAACTTTGTTTTTAGTCATCGAGGGATTGCCTTCGAGTCAATGAGTCGATGCGATCAACTGGTTTTCCTTAGATAGAAAACTTTGAATCAGTCTGACTGGATGATCTGGTGAACTGAGATGACGTGTGTTGTGAATTGGCGCTATAGAATTAAACTAAATTGAACTGAATTTATTGTATCTCCATTGCTCTTACTGTATACTTTAAAAAGGGCTGATAGAAGCAAACAGTCCCAATAGTTTAAAACAAGAGGGGGACGGCCTCAGAAGAAAGAAATAAGACCAGAGTGTGTTTAGGAGATTCTTTAACGCNAACTGAATTTATTGTATCTCCATTGCTCTTACTGTATACTTTAAAAAGGGCTGATAGAAGCAAACAGTCCCAGTAGTTTAAAACAAGAGGGGGACGGCCTCAGAAGAAAGAAATAAGACCAGAGTGTGTTTAGGAGATTCTTTAACGCAATGGTGGAAGACAGAGTGGATGGCGTTTGCTATAAGCACTTATGCCCAAAAAAAAAGAACATGACCGTTTCTTACCTACACACTTTTTAGAAAAAAATCCGTTCTACATGTGATTAATTATAGTTCTGCATAAAATTAAGATCTACGTAAATAAATTAATGCATCCAATATATACATTTAGCTGTTATGTATCAAAGACGACTCCTAAATGACTCACAGAGACACACACATCCCCTTCTCCTCCATAAAACATGAAATCTAGTTTTTCAAAAAAAAAAATAAAATAAATCCACTGGACTTTGTGTCCAAGTTTGAAGACGTTGCTCTTCCCATCCAGAAATTTTTTTCAATTCAAAATGTCAGAAATAGCGCTCTGTCTCTGAAAGGGAGGTCATTAAAGGGAATTGTTGGCCTGGCTGAATAGGCGAGGTCTTCTGTTCCTCTGTAAAGGGGTTGGGGTTAAGATGATAGCGGGAAGGAATCAACTCAATTGCTGTATTATAGGTTTTTGAAAGCTGAAAAGTTTTGCTTTTTAGCGTTTCAATTGCAAGTTTTCAAAGCCTGGCCTGGCTGAAATCAGAGTCCACCCCCTCTGTTTTCCGCTTTCAAACACCTACAATGCAGCAATAGAGTTCTTTATTTGTGTATTTTTGTTGTGAGTTTATCTTTAAATTCAGAACAACTAAAATGTCAAATAGTTAGGTCCTTCCACTGGATGGTATTAGTACTGCCACCCTCTAGTTTAGGGCGAACTGCTTGTTTTTGAGGTGGCAAATCCATGGCCACCCTTGGCCCCCCTTCTAGCTCCGCCCCTGATGTCACCCTTATCCTCTTGGACAGAGCAAAAAGCAATTTTCTAAGTTTTAGTTTTCTAACCTAATTCGTCTGTTAATTTTCTCTAATTTTCTCCTCCTCCACCTGTTTAAGTTACTTCTTGGTCTTTGTTGTTCACTAATGTTTCTCAAAAACCTCTAAAAGTCTTTATACAACTGATGGATTTATACTGAAATAACTAAGTAATAAATTATACTTATAATTATGTATAAATTATTACTTATTAATTATGTTTAAGCAATGATTCTAATAAAAATGACATTGCATTTAAAATGATTTATTCCTTATGTTTGTAAAAGAAGAAAATGTTAAAAGTTGCTAAAATTACGGAGACTTGTGCAAGTTAGATAACTTAGTTATATAACCTTAGAAGGAAATCAATACTTAGTTTTGTTTTAGTGGAATCCAGATTAAAGTGTTTTAATCACACATAAAGTAATTGTTAAAACACACGTATTTAATTTCCTCCACATTAGAATCAAATTTAAATAAGAAATGACATTTTATATTCTTAGCTCCTATAAAGCACCTTTTCTTTTATTTAACCTTTGGTTTGTTTTCATTTCTTTTTTATCACACATGGCATAAAAAACACCCATAAAGGTCAGTTGCAGGTGATACGGTGTCTGGGCCGACACTGCTTAACTGTTTGTCACAATCTTACTTCACATTGATAAGTTTAAAAAAAAAAGAAAAAAAAGAAGCAGGCATCGTGTTAAAAGATATGGAACAACTGATATTTATGCATTTACCAAGATTTTACATTTATACTTCATCTTAGAGACGGATAAAATGCAAACTAACTTCTATTTCGGTCTCAGAAAATGCAGATGAACCTGAAGCGGCACATCCCCACCTACACAACAGGAAACGACCTTCTGTGAGGACGCTTTGGGACAGAGTTAGCTGGTTTACAGCATAAGGACTTTGATGATTTATTTTTAATATAAAGTGATTGAAGGGCCGCTCCTGCCTTCCGTATTTTCCATGTCTGAGTGTTCAGTGGAGTCTAGCTCCACGTCTCTGTCCTGCTTTAATCCTATTAGCTGGGAAGCACAAAGGGTAGATAAGAGGTTTATGTTTGTGTCGCTCACACTGAATGTTTTCTCTCTCCCTCGAGACACTAGAAAAGCTATATATTTGATCATTTGGAAAACCACCACTACACCTACTACATCTGGTGTAGATATCTTGAGAACAGGATTGGCTGAGAGGAAACACTGATGATGAATGAAGATAAAGTGTATGAGATCATCCGGAGATGGGTAAGTCCACCCTGACAATCTGAGCTGAGCTAATCATATTCCTAACAATAACGCATGGGCTTACCATCCCATCGCTGATTTAGAGAGCTGATTTACTAAATTAAAACACCAAAAATAACAAAAACTGATTAAAAAAACTAAACAAAAAAGCATATATTGTCTCCATCCTTTTGACTCAAGAATTAAAAGGAATTTCCTTTTTATAAATTAAGTAAAGCATTGAGAAAAAATATTAGCAATCTCTCAAATGTTTTATTTTTTTATTTGGTACACCTACATGTTTCTGATGAGTTCAACTGAGTTTATTTCTTTAGCTTAAATTCACAGCACCTGTCAGCTCAAGGAACTTTCCAGAGACAAATCGATCAGATGAAAGGTTGCTGCTGATTCACTCCTCCTGCATCAGCATGTGGAGAATGTAGATATTCTCTTGCATTTTGTCGTTTAGTCTACAGCAATCGCTCACAGTGAGCATGCATGAGGCGACAGTGGAGAGGAAGAACTTCCTTTTAACACAAAGAAAGCTCCATTAGAACCAGAACCAGGGTCGGTGTGAGCGGCCTTCTGCTGAGGAAGACTGGGGATTTGAGAAGACAGAAGCAGACATAGAAAAGGAACATAGAGGCACAGATCTATGATCATAAAACAAATGGAAAAAAATGGAAAATGTAAAAATGTCTTTATTATAATAAAAAAAAAAGGTTAGAAACGGAATTCACCCCTAAATCTAAAAATCATTTAGAGGCAACAGCTTCCATGAGAGTTTTGATATATCTGGAAATGAGTTTTTTACTTCCTTTCAGAGGAACTTGTTTTGGCCCAGTTTGTTTTACAGACATCATTTCTATTGTGATTGTATGCTTGAGTATGAACAGGGTGTATAAGGTTGGGTAAAAACCACTTCAGCCAGCATTTTGATATTATATCAGATTAGTAGTCAAACATGGTGGAGGTGGTGTGATGGTCTGGGGCTGTTTTAAGTCTATAAGGACCTGGAAACTTGGTTTCACTGATGAATCCCTGATTTCTCTTCCTAGATCAGATTTCTTAAACTTTTCAGCTTCTGAGCCAGAAAATCTTGCCAGAGTTGCCTCATGAACCAAATTACTGGTTTACTTTGAAAGATTTCTGTAAAATCAATTAACCAACATTACAAACAGCATCAACAACCAAAGTGGTTGGTTGTGTCTTTTCTAAGTTATGCTTTTATGCACTTTAGCATCAATCTTTATTGTTTAGTTTAACTTCTGTAGTGGATCTTAACACTTAATACAGTTTGATCAAGAACCCCAAAAGGGTCCAGACCTCAACTTTAGGGAACTCTAGAAGTGCCTCAGCGGCAACAATTTTTGTTTATCCTCAATCGTTTATGAACGTGATTAACAGCACGACGATTTAAAGCTTTCCAACTTCTGATTGGCCTTAAATACGGGAAGATTTCAAGTTCTGTTTAAAGTCTGACTTAAATCCAGCTGAGATTACCTCAAACTTCAGCTAATGATGAAATGGTTTGCGTAAAGATTTACCACCTTTCTTTAGATTTAGGAGGTTGTTTGGATCCTATTTTCCTGTAAAAAAATATATGAAAATTGACATGCAGTTGAACATAGGAGTTTGTTTAAAATAAAATCCAAATAGGACAGAATCTATGAGGGGAAAACACTTTTTCACAGTGCGTATTCAGCAGTGATAACCCCCCACGCTGTCATTTCAGCGCAACACTCCAGAAGAAGATTTAAAGCCGGAGGATTTCCAGCAGTTCAGGGACATCGGAGCGGCTTGTCTCAGAGGGGGGGACAGCAAACAGCTGCTGAAATTTGTCCAGGATGAGAAAAACCAGGTAAGCTGACTAAAAAAGAGGCAGACTGAGGGTCCGGGTTGTGTTCTCCCACCCTGCAGATCTGAAGTGACGGCGGATCGACTGCGTTAATCTGTCGGACAGCACTAAAAGCACATCCGCTCCATCCAGCTATGTTAAACATGGAGATGCAGCTGTTACTTGGTGCCTGCTGGCCTTTTGAGCTGAAGGTGTGGAGGGAAACAAGCAGATATTCAGTCAGATTTCTCGCTCCACTGCTAACACCCATCAACGTGGTGCTCCTCTAAGTGCCCTTGGTTGTCCCATCTCTCCACACTTCATGCAGCTGTGTTAACCCTACTTAAAGAAACACTCCCTACCATCACCTCCTTTGAAGGCTGACTGCATTGAAGCGCTGAAATGATTGAATATGAAAAGAAAAGCCAGTTTTACAGACAGTGTTTTAATCTGAGGTGCAGCGTGAGGTTTTAGCCACAGAGCAGCGTCTGTATGATTTTCCTCTGAAACCAGTCGATCTTACCTCATTATTTTAGAATAAAAATCATCTAAAGTATTCCAGAACATTTTCTTAGACACAATGTAAACCCCAACCTTGAAATTCTTTATATTTAGGTCAGTGCAACATATTGTTTTTTTGAGTGCAGGTGTGTGAAGCTGAAACCTTTGGATTAAACTGAACTATTGGTGTAACAGTTAAATAAAGATTAAAAACCTTTTTTAAGAACATTTAAGCATGGTTGATTATTTGACTGAAGGATGTATCTAACGCTGCAAAGCCGTTACTGAAGTTAAAATGTTACAATCAGATTTTCGCAGAAGAAAAATTTCAATCTAACTGAATAATTAATGCACCATAAAGCTGTTTGTTGATGGACAAAAAAAAAAGAAAAACAAGAGAAAAGAAACATTTATGATTCTTCTCAGCTTAAGAAATACATTTTCATCATGATAGACATTTATAGTGGTTTAAAGTGCATTAAAATAAACTGACATCAAAGCTCTTAGTATTGCTGTTTTTATGGAAATGATTGCACAAGTCTCCGTAATCTCAGCAACTTTTAACATTTTCTTCTTTTACAAGCATAAGGAATGAATCATTTTAATTACAATGTCATTTTTATTACAATCATTACTTAAACATAATGAATAAGTAATGATTTATACTTAATTATATGTATCATTTATTACTTAAGTCTGGGAAAAAAAGAGGTATGAAGAAGCGAAACTTAACTCTTCTGCAATTAAATGTTGCTATAACTTTGTGAAATTTAGTGAAGTCACTTTTAGACTGGGACACGCTGACCTGGCTCTGTTAGAAGAACAAATAAAAGTTAGATTCAAACTTGCTTTATGAACTTACATTACCCCGGTTAAGATCAATCAGTGGTCTCCTGATGTGCCGACACATGTGTTAAAGGAATAGTACACCCAAAACATGATTAGCCTTCATTTTCTACTCACCCCCATGCTGAACAACACTCTGGAGTACTTTTTTGAT